TAAAGAGGAGGAATTACAGGGCCGGTGTCAGGGGATAGAATTTGCACACGTATTTTCTTTTGCTTTTTCAGTTCTATGTTACCAGGAGGTATGTCATCAACCTGCCGCCACTGCTTAGTGTGGTCTGATTTTTGATGTATTTCAACTGGACTTCCGACTTCGACATTGCGGCACTCCACTGGTAGTCAGTTGGATTCGAACAAATTACGGCTGCAATGCTACCCGTTTGGATGAGGGTGTCCCATGAAAACATGAGAGCCGTTGTGGCTATAAGATCTAGCAGTTTGATACAATATACACTTTCCATCAGAGAATCGAACACTAGCGATCAGCGATGTTGCAACTTCAACAAACACGTGGCGGGGCCAAGTCCACCCTATGTTGCGACAAGTACCAAACTGGGGTCGTATTTTGTTGAGCTTGTAGGGAGGGAGGATCACACTCGCTTCATTCCTATGAATTTACAAGGAAAGTGAACGTGATAAACCGACCCTCCCCCCCCAAAGAGAGGCGCGTGGTCGTATTGGGGAGCCTCCTGAGGCTCGATGTCAGACTTTGCGAATCGCGCGACTCGCTAGCGTCTGGTCGCGTCGCGGCCAGTGAATCACTCAGTTGGACTGGTACCGCAAGCGAATCGCTAGTAGCGAATCGCGCGATTCGCAAAGTCTGACATCGGCCTGAGTCTGCATAGTGACGGTGGGGTCGTATTCCCCATAGAGGGGGAGGGTTGTAAAAAAATTTCAACAGTGATAAACGGTAGGGTACAGACGCTGGGCGGGGGCTGTGGAAAGTCGCCGGTTTCAGGTTTGCTATAACGCGTGGGCATTTAGCACACGCATTACGCTGTGGAAGCGCCACATCTTTTCCTTTGGCGCCTGGTTTACCACTCGTGCATAATCTTCTCTGTTGCTGATCCTCTTATCGTATTCGCTGCCTTTAAGCGATTCTTAGGTGAAGCTTGAATGAGAAAAGAGAATCAAGAGTTTTAGAAATTTATTAGCAGCAGGGCATAACTTCCAAAATGAAAGCTACTGAGATCTCCACTTTGACATTGCGGATGAGTTTGCTGAAGAGATTCGAATAGCATGTTGCCAGTGCTCAAACTCCACAGATGGACTGCCATTTGATGAAGCAATCAATCTAAATTAGAGAAATGACAGAATTTTAGCCGCTAAAACAAAATCGGCCACTGTACCTTGAGAGGATCAGCATTTCATTAAGTAAGGCTGCTTTATCAGCTTTGGCATCTAATGCAGCGCACATGTTCACGAAGCTGTCTTGCACTCTCTATAAATTATAAATACTCGTTAAGAAAGAGAAACAATGAGAAGCGTTGACTTGAAATCGGTACCTTGGACACGTCATCCGTTAGGGATACAGAGCTCACTCCATTGCGACTTCTTTGCAGGAACTCTCGTTTGAGTTCAACATTTTCCAGGGATAAGGGTGAACTAGATGGTTCGATGGGAATGCGGAATGGGGTCTAAATTCATACCGTTACTGCAGTTTTCCTTGTGAGTCTCAGCTGACATGAGTAAGCAACATTATCCTACCTTGAAAATTCTGGACTCCTTTTTCGACAATATCAAGACATTGTGGTCGACATCCATAGGAATTTTATAGAATCCATAGTCATACGACATTTTGTGCTCAACAAGCAGCTCCTCTAGCACTTTTAAGTTCTCTTCAACTACAAGAAGAAGGGTCAGCTAAATTTTTGAAATCTCCATATACATAGGAATATGTAAGAAATGATATTCTTTTGGTACTAATCGCCTGGATACTTACTGATAATCAATGAAATAAATATTTGTAAAATAGTCATACCGAAACCGCTGACAGGGAAGGAACCACTCGGTAGCTGAGTCTCATCAAAAATGAGAACTGTGCCGTTGCTCAACTGTAGTTCTCCTTGATGCAGTACATCAGATTCATAATTCTTTACAGGTGCAAAACGTGTTGTTGAAAGCAGCTCAGGTGTGAGAGTAACGACCCTCACCTGAAAAACACATATATACCACTGACATACTGTAAAAGCTTTCAATGCAGGTGAAGCTAACATTTAACATTTAACATTTATTACGCTCAATGGCGTGCTATATTCGCCATGGGAACGCACCAGTGTGATTCAAGCTAGAATGTCGTAAAGCTATTGAAGGAACAAAGAAAAACGAGAAATACGAGAAAATAAAAGATAAAAGAAACGAACAACTCAACAAGTCAATTCAAGGGATGGCTCAACATGAAAGCATGTCTAAGAGCATAAGAAGGTGAATCAAATGTGCCAGTTAGCCCAGCGGTTCGAATGCCGAAATGGATGAGAGAATCAAATAAAACTGCCAGATGGTCAAATCAATTTTTCGCACCCAACGGAATATCAGAAATCAATAAAAAAAAATTGAGAAGTTTGTGCGCAACCAGACCCAGGATGCCCAATACAAATTCATGAAAATTTCTCAGAACTGCCTGGATTGAAACCTTACCTTAGGCATTAGAAGTCGCACCATTTCAATTATTTTATGAGCTACTTCGGAGTCTGTAACGCCAACAATGTTCAATGGTAGAAAACACAACGGTGTTCCACCAGGGCGAGAGTACCTAAAATACAACAAATAAGTCGAAAATTTGTACTCGTGTCTAACTGAGCAATAGACAACTGAGTGAAAATCATACCAAACTTCTAATGAGAAGCGCCGATGTAAAACAAATAAATAAAGAAAAGATGGATCCACTCTGAACTTTCTTTGCATCGGATATGTGTTTAGGAAATTACTGTATGCGAAAAATGGGAACGCAGAACCACACTGAGATTTCACTTTCCATATCGGAAAATCTCCACAGGAAACATTAAAAGCGGAAAAAGGCTCCACAAAATCAAGTGTGCTCAAGAAAGAATTCGTAAATGTTCCCAATTTCTAGAAAGACGACTAAGATGGATATGAAAAGACTAAGTACAAACGTTAGTAAATATGGAATCATCAATGTTGCAAGACTCACGTTGTGGATACTAAGAAGCTGACAAACATCTCAGCTGCTGATGTACTTCCCAACACAGACGAAACCTCATTTATAAGTTCTTTACGCATTGAAGGTGAGTCAATACCTAAGAGTTGAAATGAAAAGCTAAACCACAAAAGAATGCGTAAGGTAAATTAGTAGCTATCCCAGAATATCTAAGGGTGTTGTCAGAGTCCACGGTTCGTCGCGCGGTTCGCGTGACAGATCGCAGAAATCGAAGTGCCTGATCTATACTGCAAGTGCTCTCCAACCCCACCGCCATTTCTGATTAATAGTGATGATTGAATGACGACTGTCCAGATATTACCTGTCATATTCAATGTTTCAAAAGATGTCCAAATAGAGCACTTGCGATTTTTGCAATTCGCGCGAATCGCGGCGGATCTCTAACAACACCTAATGGAAAACCTACTAGATGACACATTTGATTCTGCCAAGGGCGCATGGCACACTTCTTTGATACGTAGAACATGAACATTGAAATGCTTGGATGAATCACCTTGGCCTTCACTGAAATCATGGAACCTAGGCAAAAAAGCAGAAACGTGACATCCAAAAGAAGGATCTTTGAACTAACCCTTCCTCACCAGCATGGGCTGGAGCCGATAAATAACCATAAACATCGACAACCGTGTTTGGTTTCAGCTCGGGAGTTCCATCATCGAAAACCTTAAATCACGGGAAACGTAAAAAAAATCAAACAGCCACGGTTCGTGCAACATCACCTTGCATGACTTCACTTATTTTGTTGAGCTGCTGTAGCCGATATCTCCGTTCGCGTCTAATGATTGAGAAAACAGTTCTAAGCATTTGAAAATCCTACATTGCAAATGAAGACGAACCACAATTTGTGGAGCAGAGTGTCGCCGTCGTTTGAGCTTTGTTGAAATCATCGAGCCACCACTCCATCGCACCAGGGACCATGACCATCTTATAGCAATAACGGCTGCAGTGGTTTCCCATGATCCACCAGATTCTGGAACGACTAAGATGGGACAACAGCTACGAAAGTGGCATTAAGGCATTAAAAGAGCTGCAAAGATAGTGTCAAAGGTTATACTAAGATCAAGAAAATAATATCAAGAGAAACAAGTATGGATGTTTTCTTTCCCATGCCAAAAGGATTAACCTCACGAATTCCTAGTTGTTTTGAGCATCTTATAAGAAACTGAGCAGAATTATAAGTAAGTGAATTTTATTTAATGAGAAATACCCCATCTCAGCTGCTGATGTACTTCCCAACACAGACGAAACCTCATTTATAAGTTCTTTACGCATTGAAGGTGAGTCAATGCCTAAGAGTTAAAATGAAAAGCTAAACCACAAAAGAATGCGTAAGGTAAATTAGTAACTGTCCCAGAACATCTCAGGGTGTTGTCAGAGTCCGCGGCCCGTTCGCGGACTCTGACACCGCCTAATAGAAAACCTACTAGATGACACATTTGATTCTGCCGAGGGCGCATGGCACACTTCTTTGATACGTAGAACATGAACATTGAAATGCTTGGATGAATCACCTTGGCCTTCACTGAAATCATGGAACCTAGGCAAAAAAGCAGAAACGTGACATCCAAAAGAAGGATCTTTGAACTAACCCTTCCTCACCAGCATGGGCTGGAGCCGATAAATAACCATAAACATCGACAACCGTGTTTGGTTTCAGCTCGGGAGTTCCATCATCGAAAACCTTAAATCACGGGAAACGTAAAAAAAATCAAACAGCTACGGGTTTCGTGAAACATACCTTGGCAATGAATTCACTTATTTTTGTAGGCGCTGATGTAGACGATGTCTCCATTTGGTCTGAACGATAGACGATAGTTTTAAGCATTTAAAATCTTACATTGCAAATGAAGACGAACCACAATTTGTGGAGCAGAGTGTCGCCGTCGTTTGAGCTTTGTTGAAATCATCGAGCCACCACTCCATCGCACCAGGGACCATGACCATCTTATAGCAATAACGGCTGCAGTGGTTTCCATGATCCACCAGATTCTGGAATGACTAAGATGAAACAGCAAAAGTGGCATTAAGGCATTAAAAAGAACTGCGAAGATATTACCAAAGGTTCAACTAAATCAAAAAAATAGTATCAAGAGAAACAGGGAATGTTGTTTTATTTCATAGCCAAAAAGAGTAACTCTACCGAATTACTAGTTTTTAAGAGCATCAGTACGAAACTGAGCAGAATTATAAGTTGATTCTTATTCAATGAGAAATACAGTAAAATCAGAGTATTCACCGTTACATCATCACCGAAGGAGTCTCTTAGACATCCAGTCGCCTCCTCTGTTTCTGAGCCTTTCGAAACCGTGCAACTGAGAGGAAAGAACTCTGCAACAGAAAGATTAAAGAATGAGATCGTGAAAAATAAGGGAAAATTAGTACCTGGGGCAAGAGTGTTTTGGACCATGCAACGAGCAGAAACGAGGTACCCTGGCAGAACTTCAGAGGTGTGGAGAGAAAGAAACAATTTCTGAAATAAACTAAGAGCTGATGAGGATAAAACAAGACAAAAAGCTATTAAGCGTCACATTATCGGCGAACATTTCGTTGACATCAATGAAGAGCTGATTTGGAGTATTTACATAGGTGTCGCGTTTCTCTGAAAGGAAAGGTTTATGATTGCGCGAAAAAAAAAACGAATTAACAACCTAAAGTTTCCAGCTAGTGCACTTGACTTTACCCTGCAACGCGTCAACTCAAGGGATAATTGCTTTATTTTGGGTCTCTATGACTTCTCCACAAAACTTTCACAACAGCGATATAAACTTCCAACGACAAGTGTGAAAAGAGGTTTCATCGTTTTTGCGAAACCGCTGTTTGAGTAGCGATAGAACCTAGCGTCTGTATGAGCGTTCATCAGAACTCACGAGGAGCATTCCTGCCCACCATGCTTGTGCTTTACACAACCATGACATCCCTCTATGATGAAGCGTCCTCGAAGTTGGCAATTGCTTACCATACAGGCAACCCCCCCCCCCAGTACTTCTCTTTCACTTTTCTCCCGTTACGTCCTTTCTATAAAGCTCGAGTAGATAAGACTCCTTTAATCAGGTGGACAGTCGCAAAGGAGTCTCAATATGAAGAGTTTGAAGTGGAAAATTTCGCTGCAGTACCCACTCCCGGCAACTATTGCACTATTATATCCTCAAATGCTCCATGACAAGTAAAGATCGAAATTTTCTGCTGAAAACTCAGTCTGTAAGGATTACTCGGGGGTTTGATCACTAATGTAACTCTTCGCTTTGATAACTGCAAATTCGAGCTAAGTGGCGTGTGCGCAAAAAACGTCATATCGGTGACCAGAGGGTAATACAATCCTCCACGTAAGGTTTCACCAATCTTTTTTGTTTGGAGTTTGAATAGCGCGGCGTAGCCCAATTTTCTGGTCAACGGTAGCTGTCAAGCCTCCCCTTATAAGAGCTTTATTAATCATGCATTACAGGAATTTTAAATTTTCTAGCGTTCTAATAGATCAAATCTAGAGTCCAACCTCGCCACAGTTGATCGACGACTTTCAAAAAATCCTTGGACGCCAATTCAGGAGCTGGAGCCATTCCTACTGAAAAGCTTCACGTAATGTTACACATTGAGAAATGTAAAAGAAACATTGCGAACAAGCTACACATGTAAAACAAGGAGTATTAGGCAGAACATGGCAGACAAAAAACCACTGAGTCTGACTTAGAATCACTTTTGAAAGCCAACTTCACAACTGAAAAAGGAAAAGGCGAAAATTACGCCAAGAAAAAGTTTGTAAAGCACAATTTCCCGCGCTCTGCTGTCGCGCTGCAACTCGTCCACGATTTGAAAGTGCACATGTCGTGATGTCGACCTCAGAATTCTTGTTCAGTGTGAAAAATGTTGGTGGAGAGCTCCCACCTGGGATCCGATTCTGTAAGGAGGGACAGTTCTGGAGTGAAATTTTTCGCAAGGGAAGGAAGCTCCAGGGTAGGCGTGAAAGCGGAAGCAGAATAGTTCGCGCATCTCGGAATCTCTCCGCCAGCGAAAATGGGAACTTTTGTAGACGGCAATTACTGTCGCACTAAATTCCTCTTAACTGAATTCGACCCCTCAACTCTTTTCCAACTTGGGCTAAGCGTCTGCCCTATGCGTTTCTGCTAAGAAGTTTTCGTTCTACCGTAAACGGAATAGAGACAAACATCAAAGCATCACAGAAGTGTTTGAGCTTACTATGCCATTCAATGTATACTTGGGTCTGTTCCAATAAGGGGAATATGGTATGTTGTGGCCGCCTACAGTGTTCCTACTTTTGGCACGGAGTGGAGCTAGTGGGTGATTGTAAAAGTTCAGGTTATGTGGATCACGTACTCCGAAATTTCCTGCCCTGCAAAAGTTGGAACTACTGCAGGGGTGCAAATTACCCGTCACATTCCCAACATTTAATTGGAATAAGTCTGTCTTC